GGATTTCAGATTCGTAATCTACACCCCAAAAAACATATAATTAAAAAAAAAACACCCTTTTTTTTGGATGTAGTTAATCTGCAATAATACCGGATGGGGTAATAAGGGTCCAAGGGACACCTGCCCCCTGAACTGAGGCCTGGGCCTGGGTGATATGAGACACCTCAGTCACACCTCTAGGCTCTAGCCTTCTAGGCTCTAGTCTAAGGGCTCTAACAGTTACAACAGTCTAACTTCTAAGAAAGCATTTACAGCCTATAATCTTGGTTAGCAAAGGCTCCAAGCCTCCAGTTAACAAAAAAAAATTGATTAATAACATAGAATTTGCCTAAATTTACTTTGCTCAGCCTCAGCATTCAGCAAGAATTCCCAAGTTTATTCAATGAAAAATTAATGCATCATTGGTCATCACAAATTGTGCAGTCACGGTAAGACTTGGTGCAGGAATCACTACCCTTCTCGCCCTCGTTGAAGACCAAAATCGGGTGCACTTTGCCTATTGCCAGGACCATATCCTCTCAAGCGAAGTAAATAGAACCTTCAAACTGTGAGATCTGATAGAAACTAGACAAGATCAAGAGAGCAACTCACGCACGTCAGTCTTCAACCGCAGCTGCAGCAGAGTGACGTGCCCGTTTCCGCGTTTTACTTTAACAGTTAACAGGAACTCTGGTAAAAAGTAACGGAATTTTGAAACGTGAACTCTACGTTGCGTAAAATGGCTATATATATCAGAAAAAATTAAATTAGAGATCGATAGTTTCAGAGATGTTAACAGTGTAACTACATTTCTCTTCATCTCTCGATAGTAAAACATAACTTATTATTAGGGGCAGGGTGACCAGTGATTTTAAAGTTCAGCAGAGTGCCAGGATTGGCGCAGAGAGGTGCGGGTTCGATCCCAGCTCTGTGCGCCAGTTTCTGGTCAGAATTGGCGAGGAGGCCGGGCGGTTAAGCAAAGCAAAATTGAATCATTGAGTTGCGCGTTCGAGACCGCAACAAGTTGTGAATATTCTGCTATGTTAAGAATCGGCAACAGGCCTACGGCCTAATAACCGCTGAAACCGCTATTATTTATTACATTCATCTCACGGCCTGCATTCTGTCAATATCTACCTAATCGGATAATGATTAAATTGAATTAGAATTCTTCCGCAACTTTACTAATAAAAATTTTGTTGCTCCGAGCATTCAATACGTCGTGGAAAACCATTTATTACTTGAAACCACATTGTATAATGTGGAACATTGAACTTTGAATAATAAGCGGATGATAGCGGATTGAACTTTGAATATATGCGGATGATACATCAGTAAAGTTATTTATCGTTACTTCCTTAGTAAATTGTGTAAGCTTTCTATCATAATGAAAATTATAACCAAAATCCTAGCAGTTGAGCAGTTGAACGTCTTGATTTACAACTTAGCACTCATTATTGACCTACAAATTCCATTGACAATCATTTATTGAAATAATACAAAAACTGCCTATAAGCCAGTTTCAAAATTTATCATAAATAGAGTTGCGCTTAATTCAAAACTTTAGTCAACAACACAGCTATACATATACAATTTCTACAGAATAATATTATCGAATCCTTCCTCGAAGATCGGCTTAGAGCCAAAAAGGGGAACAAAATGCCCCACCTTGTCGGATAGGCGACGACGTGCGCCACGTAAATCGGCTCGTGCGTTCGGTGGATCATGTACGACCAAAGACCTATCACCAAATTTCTTATTTGAAAAACTAAGCGCTGGTTCTCAAATTTTGAGAGGTTCTTTACATCACTCATGTTTGGGGAAAATTATCAATATTTTAAGGGTATAACCTCGAAGTTACGGGCTTAGACATACTCGTAAAATTGATAATGACAAAAATGTTGTCTAATACCCTTCGATCCTTGAAGTCGATTGCTGGAGAAACTCTTAATCGAAGAAATTGTGCGTCTTAGGCCCGTATGCTAAATAGGGCACTAGCACTACGAAGTAGCACTATGCACTACGAAGTGTCCTGTTGGTATGCTAAATACGTCAAGACACTAAGCACTTCGAAGTAGCTCTACAATGTTTAGTGTCGCTTAGTGTCGCACTACTGATTGGTATGCAGAAAGACTTTGAAGTGCTACTTCGCTGTTAGAGTACTTCTATAGTGCAGCACTACGCTATGAGTCTATTGAAGAATGGTAGTTAAGTACTCAAATAATTAATTATTCCCTAAGTAATTCTCATTCTTTGCAGAAGATTGATGTAAAATGTCTAATTGTGATGGTAATGGTACTAGTGAAAATTGTGATGGTGAGCTGAAATTCGCAATGCGTCTGCGCACCTTTCCNGTTGCATTGTTTTTTGTTGCATTGAGATTTAATTTCTTTTGATAGTATTTTTGAATACTATACGTCTCTATACATAATTTAAATCACTTTTCCTGTTGAGTTTGTGTACTTACATACATTAAAATACGATTTTTCAAGTGTACGAATATTTATTTCCCCCCACTGTATATGTCGAGCCAAAATAGCGGAATTACCGATTCTATGGAATAGGCAGCCAGGTTGCTAATTTCGTAGAATCAACATTTTCTTGTTGATTCAGAAATCGGATGTTAGAGTTAGAGTTAGAAGATAAATCTACAGTTAGATTTAGAAAAGGTTAGGTCAAGTTCGGTCACGTTCCTCTATATTTATATATAAAAAAATGGCTGACTAACCCAGCCACAGGTTCCATAGTATAGAAATGTTGATTTCCCAAGGAGATTCGGCAAAATTTTCCCAGGGACAAATTCGCCAAAATGGCTGCCGATTCCATAGAATCGGCAATTCCGCACTTTCGGCATGACATTGCGGTTTCAGGGTTTATTAGGCCGTATGCTTGTCGCCAATTCTTAGCATAGCAGGACATTTACAGCTTGTTGCGGGCTCGAACTCGCAACTCGCTGGTCTAATTTTGCTTTGCTTCACCGCCCGGCCTCCTCGCCAATTCTGGCCAGAAACTGGCGCACAGAGCTGGGATCGAACCCGCACTTTTGTACTCCATTCCTGGTACTCTTAACTTTAACCACTGGTCACCCCTATATAATTTAAATCAAATACATTGTCCTTAGGTTAATTTTAAGAGAAAAAGCCCATTCGTCCATTATTTTATGTTTATAGCTCAGTACAAATAGTTTGCGACTCAGGCTTATCCCGTGATCCATCAGTTCGCAATAACAGTTCAGACAATAATATAACAACATTACTGCAGTATACCAACAGTACAATACAGTAGTAACAGTATTGCGCAATAAAAACAGTGCAGTACTGCACCATAATAACAGTTCAGTGCAGTAGCGTAATAACAGTTCAGTGCATGAGCACCATGACAACAGTACGATACAGTAGTAACAGTATTTCGCCACAAAAACAATACAGTAATGTTCCGTGAAAAACAGTGTTGTACATTATATCCACAACAGTACTGTGCGGTTGTACCATGATAAGAGCAAACACTTATCGTGTCCAAACACAGTTTATCATTGCCAAAATAGAACGAATGAGTCCAAATTTCTGTGTACATATTTGCCCGATCAGATCGCTTTATCATGTTACTGTGACCGCCATGTCTATGTACCTCTTTGATCTACTAATGTCGATAAAATATATTTTGGTTAGGGCTCCATAATGAAGAGCGTTATAGTGTAAGGAAGACTTAGGTATGCCGCGTATATGTTTATGCCGCGTGCAACCGGGTACAATTTCGACTATGTTATGACTATATCGAAATTATGTTATTTCGACTATGCGGTTATATAAATAGTTTGACTTCGACTCAATCGTAGATGTTAGCAGTTTAAGAAAAAAAAATAATAATTAGGCTAAATTAATTTAATAATATTATTTAGAAGAGATGAAGCCCCTCCTAAATAGGCCTATTTACGCCACTGATATCAACGCGAAAAAGAAAAAACCAACAAAATAGGTTTAAAGGGAGTGTCTCAACTGACACATTGACTGTATTACGTAAGTATCTCTCAACAATTAATGTAATCCTTATAAATATCTCCGTCGAAACTCAGGCGCCCGTTATCAGCTTCTTCAGCGCCTAATCTCACTCGGCGGCGGCGAGACTATCAGAAAGCGCAGAAAATTTACGCCTAACGAATCGTCAGCATTGATAATGGAAGATCTAAAATGACTCCGTTCCAATGGTTTGTCCGAGCTGCTTTATTTATAACATCTCGTATCAGTAACCTCATTTATAATTCAGATAATTTGTGTAATTTTTGTAATACGAGTGGTCTGTATCTAGGAAAAATTAAGCTTGTAGACTTCACTTCATCAGTCCGAATATGAGAACATGGGATGCACGAAGCCAAGCTTCCACCTATTCGGACACAGTTATCCTGTGTTGCTGCTTGGCCGTGAGGCTCTGACCTTCGCAAGTCACAAGCACAACGAAACGATGGATAATCTGCTCACTGCTCAGCCTCAGAGGCTCAGAGTCTCAGACTGTCAGACAGCTCACAGCTCAGTATCAGTCTGGAGTTGAAAGGGTGTGTGTCATACGGTGCTGTATTGCGTATATTCTCATAGAAAAGCTCGGGTTATCGATCAGAATTCACAAAGATGTCGTGTAAAAATAACGGTAAGTAAACAATAATATATGGGAAGCAAATGTACCAAATAACACATAACAGTACAGTAGTAAGATGTTGAATAGCTGAAACCAATTTTATGGCACCTTGAATAATTGTCGTCGGCACTTCATTCAGTGTACTTTCCAATAAACTCTTCGGTCGCTTGTAATTATTCGTTAATAGGTATGTATAATTATTAGTTCGAATTCACATGTACTCAAGCAAAACATGGTAAAATGAGTACTTTTGCCTGTGTATTTTGTTGTTGCGTGACGGCTGTGACGTAACTTGCACGGTCATTGTGCATACTGCATACAACATCTGCTGTTGACCCGTCAAATCTTTCCGCATTTCATTCAACGAAGTTTATTTGAAGTCTGTATACTTAGTAATTATAAAGCAGAATAATTCAAGTAGTGTGGTGTTAAATTCAAACAGTTTAAAAGGCATCATATGAATGGTTCAAAATTTGAATGTTACATTACCTGAGGGACATGAATTTCAGAATACTAACGCCTGAAAAATTATAGCACACGCGTATACAAATTAAATATTAACCAAAGATAGCATAAAACATACTTGAGCGAAGCTAGTGCTCCTCACAATCGTAGGTTAGTCGGCCAATAAGAATGTAAGAGAGCGCTGCGTCTTGTATCATGCCGCGTATACCAACGCGGTATACGCGTTGGGGGGGACGACATCCTCCAGCCAGACATCCTCCATCGCAGAATGAATAGAGAATTCAATCATCTTGAAACATGTCACTGATACAGTCTTAATTGCCAGGAGAAGCTAATTTTTGCTTAAACAACTTAGTGCCCGTTGACAACTTGACAGACAGTAAGGAAATCGGTGTTGGTGTTGCCATAGCTCTCGCAGCCTCGCGACTGAGTCAGTGCCCATTGACAGAGGCACACTCAAGGTTGACGTTTCCATTGTCAATGGGCACTGAGTCACTGCCCATTGACAGGCCCGGGCTATGCGACGCCACTTGCCGCCATGTTGGGCCCCAGGGAGCGGCTCGTGTGGTTGCCTTGCATCGCGACCTCCGCACAGCCTGACTACCTGGCGACCGTTGACGTGGACCCTGACAGCAGCACCTACTGCCAGGTGCTGGTAGTGACAGCAGCACCTACTGCCAGGTGCTGGTAGTGACAGCAGCACCTACTGCCAGGTGCTGGTAGTGACAGCAGCACCGACTGCCAGGTGCTAGTAGTGACAGCAGCACCTACTGCCAGGTGCTGGTAGTGACAGCAGCACCTACTATTAGGATGTATGTGGACGAGCGCCTATATACTCTTATATAAGGATAAGCAAATAAAATTGTTAGTTATAAATGTGTGAACTTAACTAAATAGGCTAAGATCTCGGCAATATACGAGTGCAATTTGGAGGTATTTTTAGTCTATAGGCTACGTTCTCCATCACTAGCTGTTCTCGACACATCTGGATGAAATACTTTTAATTTTCTTAAAAATCCAATGAGTTGAATACATGCCTCTAGTACAGGCCATATGTTAGGGACAAGTATTTGTCATATCACACATTCCGATCATTGCTGTATACAGACTGCACAAGTACATATACATCACGTGACTGATCGAGGTGCTGCACCGCATGGCTGGTGCAAGTGTAAGTAATGCCATGTAGTCAGACCGTGCGTTATGTACGAGCTTATCATTGTGTACGTACATACAGGTGATACACAGACTACACATGCCACACACGGGCGACGAGCTGCACCACATGGGATGGAACACGTGTTCGTCCTGCCACGGCGACAAGACGTGTGTCAGGGACAAACTCGTCGTGCCGGCGTTGCGGTCTGGTCGCGTCTACATCGTCGATGTCAGCAACGAGACCAAGCCGACGATGTTCAAGGTGGGGGTCGTGGGGGTTGCGCGAGGTCGTGGGGGTTGCGTGAGGTTGTGGTGTGTTGGGGTCACAGGGTTACGCGAGGTCGTGGTGTGTTGGGGCTAGGGGGTTGAGCGAGGTTGTGGTGTGTTGGGGTCACGAGGGTTGAGCGAGGTTGTTGTGTCTTAATGAATTTCTGTTCGAGATAGTGACGCTTCACTACCTGGATCTTGATCTAGATTGTGATGAGTCGAGGCTGAGGTGTTGCTTAACTTATTAGTGTTTTCGAGCCTCGAGGTTAATTGAGATTGTTGGGACTCAACTTGAACTGTTTAAATTTCTTTACTCTCTCGTCACGCCATGCTGAACAACGAACACCTGGATTGGTGCTGGAATTTCATTGGTTCCAGGTGCTGGAAGACGATCTGAAGAAGCTGGACCTATCGTATCCCCACACCAGCCACTGCCTCCCCACGGGGGAAATCATGATATCCACCATGGGGGACGGTGAGGGGAACGCTAAGGGGGCCTTTGCCACCTTCAACTCCAGGACCTTCGAGTCTACAGGTGGGGACGGACAGCGAGGGGATGGACGGGCGTTGGATGTGGTGGGGTGGATGTTTGTTGAGATCACTCGATGGATACGAAACCGGCCGAAAACGTGACCAATCTTATCAGTTTTTAGCATGCGACCGCTGTAAGGTTAATTTACACCATTGATAGTAATATCAGCACAATAACAGTACCGGTATTGGCTACTTTACAAAATTTTTAGGAATGAAGTATCAAATTGCAGATCAAATAATGCTAAATGGTTCAAAGAGTCCTCGCCCCAATCGTATCGGGGAAGCTATATATACGCTAACATCTCAAAACGCCATAGAGCAGGCATTTCTTAAAGGTTGGCCGTTTATATTCCCCTAACTTGATATCCCTCTTCCCCCCCCCCGCGCAAAGTCGCACCTATTGCCCTGGAATTATTTATTCAAATAAATCAAATCCAGTTGAGGAGGCCTAATCTGCACAGGAAAATACCCAGAAAACGTGCACCAGTCAGGAGGTTGATCTAGATTGTGATGAGTCGGGGCTGAGGTGCTGCTTAACTTATTAGTGTTTTCGCGCCTCGAGGTTAATTGAGATTGTTCTGACTTAATGAATTTCTGTTCGAGATAGTGACGTTTCACTACCTGGAGGTTGATCTAGATTGTGATGTGTCGGGGCTGAGGTGTTGCTTAACTTATTAGTGTTTTCGCGCCTCGAGGTTAATTGAGATTGTTCTGACTTGTCCTAACTTGAACTGTTTCAATTTCTTCTCCCTTGTCATACCACGCTGAATAGCACTTGAATCGGTGCTGGAATTTCATTGGTTCCAGGTGCTGGAAGACGATCTGAAGAAGCTGGACCTATCGTATCCCCACACCAGCCACTGCCTCCCCACGGGTGAAATCATGATATCCACCATGGGGGACGGTGAGGGGAACGCTAAGGGGGCCTTTGCCACCTTCAACTCCCGGACCTTCGAGTCTACAGGTGGGGACGGACAGCGAGGGGCATGGATATGTGTTGGATGTGGTGGCGTGGATGTGTGTTGGGGCACTTAATGGACACGAAACCGGTCGAAAACGTGACCAATCTTGTCAGTTTTTAGCACGTGACTACTGTAAGGTTAATGCACATTTACACCATTGATAGTAATAAGATGTCAGCACATTAACAGTACCGGTATTGGTTTTTTTACACAATTTTTTGGAATAAAGTAGTAAGCAGATAAAATGTTTCGATATGGTTCACTAAGTCCTCGCCCCAATCGTATCGAGTGGGCCATGAACACGTTAACATCACCAAACGCCGTAAAACAGCCAAATCTCAAAGGTTGGCGGTTGATATTCCCCCCATTTTGATATTACCCCTTCCAGTTTGTCTCAAAATGTCAAAATGTCCAGCAGGCAATTTTTTCGCCTGCTGTTAGCACCCGAGTTGATCACAAAACTCATTTCAGGTGCATTTTGTGCACGGAAACTCGCATCATTTGCGCTGAAATTGATTGTTTAAGTAACTCAAATACCTATAAAGAGGCCTAATCTGCACAGGAAAATACCCAGAAAACGTGCACCAGTCGTAGTGAAGAACTTCCTCATGCTACAAATAGCGACGAATAAGTAGCATTATCGGTACCTTCAGGCTTGTGGACCCAAGACATGGTGCCTTTCGGGTACGATTTTTGGTACCAGCCTGGTCACGACGTGCTCATCTCCAGCGAGTGGGGCGCGCCCTCAGCTTTCTCCGGAGGCTTCAACCCCAGCGACGTCGCCGCTGGTGGGTGACTTTGTAACTAAATTCAAAATAAAACTAAATGTAACGTTTAAACGTTGGCGCTCCAAGTATGAACGCGTTCAAGAACAGACTAGATAAAACTATGGAAAAATATATGTTCAGATTTTAAATGCCTAGCACCATATCGAACCCGATGGAAGTCTGGTAGCTATTTCGAACTATTGTCAGTCATAAAAAGATCCGGTCAAATTACACGAGTTTAGATCTATGAACAAGGCACGAAAATGAAAAGAATCGGCGACAGGCCACATCAGGCCTACACTTCAGCGCTGACATCACGATGTTATGTTATGTAAGTAATTGTAACTAAATTCTTTTCCGTAGTTCCTGTAATTCTACGCGGTGCAGCTACAGGGAACAAGTTCTATATTCTGCAGGTACATACACATGAACGGCTTTCAGATATCATCAGTGTACGTCTGGCTGCTTAACATAAAACATTTTGTCCGTCCAATTGACGCACAATTAGTTCATGTGTTGCAGAAGACCTAAACCTCTCGTCAGGGAGCGCATGTTGTTGCGTAAACGCTCAATGTAGCTCACTAATTGCGGCCAGTAACACGATTTATGATCAATATTTATGCGTAGAGAAGCTGTTGACTGTGCCGTCAGTTGTTAAATGTTAATATGAGACCCAGGTTCCCATAGCGTCTATCAAAATTCATTGTTGAAGGTGTACGGAGGAAAGGATCTGGTATGGTAGTAAGATTAGGTTGGGGAGTGTTGCTAACCTAACGTGCGTCGACGATGTCTAATGGCAATATTGGGTTTTTGAATATTTTTTATTGCAAGAAAAAGGCTGTGTAATGAAGAAATCAGGACAACCACGCGGTAGTAAGTTAAGAATTGTATTTTTTATTGCCGATTTTACTATTTTTGTCTCTAATACTATTAGCATTGTCATTTATTGAATGTATAATAATGATTATGATCTGCACTCCTTGATGACCGCAATGCCAAGTATATTGCCAATCAATGCAAGGTTTTTATTACGAGAAATTGCTGATTTTACTTAGTAATTCCTACATTATTATGATTTATGAGGATGTTAAACGGTCAGGAAAGTTCGGCACACACCTGAACGTGTTCTCATGGAGCAGCCGCAAGCTGCTGCAGCGTATAGACCTGGGGCCTGAAGGAGTCATGCCGCTCGAGATCCGCTTCCTGCACGACCCCAACGCCACCGAAGGATACGTAGGATGCGCCCTCTACGCCAACGTCTTCAGGTAGGACTTCATTGACTCCAGATCTATTGGTTTGACCCCAACGCCACCGAAGGATACGTAGGATGCGCCCTCTACGCCAACGTCTTCAGGTAGGACTTCATTGACCCCAGATCTATTGGTTTTTAAGGAGGCGTCTACCCTCCAGGAAAACTTCCACATTTATTAACGGATCTTTATGAAACTTCGCACTTATATGTTAACTGAAATACAAGCAGATCTTGTTCGTATGATTTTTTCGGAAAAATTAATAGAAAACGTGAAATTTATAGAAAACGGACAAAAAAGGGAGTACTTGAAAATCTATCTCCTCCTACAGTTTTAAATCTACAGCATTAAAAGATACTGTATACCATTCGATTTGTAAAGACCATACCAATCGATTAACGAAGCCCGATTTTTTTTATTTTTGCCTTAGTTTATTTTACACGCATTTTCCCGTTTTCTTTCCATTTTCTTCAGATTTCCCCCCTCCCCCCACTTTGAATCAAAACTATGCACAAATCTACAAACGGGCTTCGTTACTCGATAGGTATGGTGTTTACGAATCGAATGGTATGTGTCTCATCCCTGTAGCTTCAAAACTCCAGGAGGAGATAGGTTTGCCGTGACAATAAGTGTGAATGTTCAGGAGAGCGTGACTAAGTCCCGCGCGCATCGCAATAGGCACTCAATGTAGCAAGGATACAAAACTAAACGTTACTGGAGCTTGATTCCAGTCAAGGATGGTTGGAGCGACTGCATGCACACCTCCTCAAACGACGCCAGGCGGGTAACTAAGGTGCACCTCAAGCAGACACTCTATTTAAAGTGCTTGCAGCGAATTTCCTCCTATTCTATTTGTTAAAGAACGCCCCTACCCCTCTCCCTTTCATGATCTTTTGTGAACGCATAAATCAACGCACAGAGATGGTAATGGTACCGTTGGATAGGGCAGAATGTCAGCTTTAAGATGAGACTAAAAACCGGAAAAGCCAAATCCGAAAACTTTAGGGTAGACGCCCCCCTTAACTCTTTTTTTTCCTTCAATCGAAATCAGATTATGGTGAAAGATGAGCGTATTTGTTGTTATATATCCATCAATGCATTATGTTAGATACGCTAATAGATATGTGGGATGCAAAGTCTTGCCTATGCTCTGCTCTGTCTGTGGATGCGACTTCATTCACTGAATACATTCTAAACCACGCAATTTTTTTCAGTTTACACGAGAAAACACTGATGTATTATTTTCATCGAGATTCAGGAACAATTCCTTTCTGCCGTTGTCTTCAAGCTCATAGTTTTTACCTCAAACCAGAAGTTCTCAATTCATAACTATTTCCTTTTCTTGTTCCTATCTCTTTCAGTCTTAGTTCAATTCCTTAAGAAATAAATTATCCCTAAGACTTGTGTTTGATGTTCATCTTATGAAATTTTATTTCTGCATTAAAATTTAGTTGGTGAAATAGAAGTAAATGTATTAAGACCGGCCTCAGGTTCTACCGGGAGGAGTCGGGGCAGTGGGCCGCCCACAAGGTGATCAGCGTGCCGCCCAAGAAAGTCCAGGGATGGGTCATGGAGGACATGCCCGGTCAGACTAACGCCATCGCTACTCATTACTACTGTCTCTTGACACTTGTAGCTATGTTATTAGTAATAGTAATGACATTATTATTAGGTTTGCCAATAATGGCAGCAATGCCTATTTCAGTAGTAATTCCACCAATAGGAGTAAGGCATGTAATGTCAAATAGTAATGTCACGCACTCCGTGATGCCAGCAAGTAGAGGGCATACCTTGTACTAAATATGTTACTAAAGTAATAGTAAGTATTGTTCATGTACTAATATATATAGTATTGTACATTACTAATATATATATTTCCTTGTGGTCTGTGCTTATCCACATTCTATATAACAGCTATTTATGATTTCTACTAAACTTGTTGATTCAACTAGATATTTTTTATAATAATCATGTAGTCCATTGGGGTACTTCTCGGACGCTTGCCTCAGTATCAAGCGACTTACAGGACAGGCTAGCTGACGATACATCAGTATATAGTATGTATAATGTAGGGTTGGGTTAGATTAGGTTTAGGTGGGTGAGGTTGGGTAATATAAGGGCCAATATGTGAGGTTGGGTAAAATGGAGTCATAACAGCATAGTAGTTAGGTTAGATTAGGTGGAGTAATATATAGTCCAAGTTGGTGAGGTTAGGTAATATAAAGGAACAACAGCATAGTAGTCAGTCATCTAATTTAATAATAAGCCAATGATGATGACAGGGGTGATGACAGACATCCTGGTATCTCTGGACGACAAGTTCCTGTACTTCAGCAACTGGGTGCACGGCGACGTGCGGCAGTACGACATCACCGACACCCGCAACCCCAAGCTCGTGGGGCAGCTGTTCCTGGGGGGCTCCATAGTCAAGGGAGGTCAGTGTGGGGGTTACATCGTTGGGGCGCCGCAGATGCTGCAGCTCTCGCTGGACGGCACGCGCCTCTACGTCTCTACCTCCCTCTACTACGCCTGGGACTACCAGTTCTACCCAGAGACCAAGACGTTAGTGTTCTATCTACCTGAGTACCATTACTGACGTATGCCTCTACGTCTCTACCTCCCTCTACTCCGCGTGGGGCTACCAGTTCTACAAAGAGACCTAGACGTGAGTGTTCTACCTACCTGAGTACCATTACTGACGCATGTCTCGTCGTCTCTACCTCCCTCTACTCTGCGTGGGACTACTTTGGAGAGAGGGTTATGGTTTTTTTACTTGACAGTGGTTGGTATTGAATAAGATTTTTGCCGTCCCCCTTCCTTTAATTGATCGATACAATTACATATATCGAGTAGGTTGAAGTGAAGATTATGAAGCTCAGATAGTTTATTGGGGTTGAAGAAGGAATCCGCCGATCAACACCTGTATCAGTGATGGTCGTTAGAATCGACAAGACATGAACACAATGATGGGGGAGGTAATGGGGGTGTGGGAAAGAAAAGGTGACGCGGGAAACGAGGAGGTGGTGGAGAGATGAGGGATTATGGGGAGATAAAGAGTGGTGTGTAGAGATAGTAAGATGCGACATCTCACCACCCTAAGGAGGTGGTGAAGAGATAGATGGTGATGTAACGAAGAGGCGCAAAAAGGCAGCATATAACAATTTTGTCAATGTTTCCTTAACTTTTATCTATATTTATTCATAGCCACTGTTCTTCCAAATGGACAATAGTCATGATTGATCATCAAAAACAAGATTCGTTGCTCAGTTTATTGTGCCGATGATGCTATTTAATTGCTCCCGTTAATCAGGTCAAAATAATGCAAAGTAACAGTACCATGAAAATGTTTATAATTATGTTTGAGAACTTGATCACTGAAGTCTGAACTGTATAAGCAGTTTCTTTGTGCAACTGTCGCATGCAATTTTCAAATTGTAATTCATTCAGTGAATCAAACACAATTAACCAATGCCAGTTTTAAATCTATTAAGCATTTGTTTGAATTTAATGTTAGAATCCATGTAGGTTGAGAATCAATTTAGGTTTTCATTTCATAGTTTCACATGCATGCATGTTGGAATAAATATGAGCTTATTATTTCATTTGTATTATATGTTCGTCTGTTGTGTTGGCGAGCAGGTATCCTGGCGGCGACTGTACTTCTGACATTTGGCTGTCCAGTCCTTGTCAGACCCTGTGTCAGCCCACGGATCCTTGAATGCCAGACCTCGTGTCAGCCCTCGGATCCTTGAATGTCAGCCCTCGTGTCAGCCCTCGGATCCTTGAATGTCAGCCCTCGTGTCAGCCCTCGGATCCTTGAATGTCAGCCCTCGTGTCAGCCCTCGGATCCTTGAATGTCAGACCTCGTGTCAGCCCTCGGATCCTTGAATGTCAGACCTCGTGTCAGCCCTCGGATCCTTGAATGTCAGACCCCGTGTCAGCCCTCGGATCCTTGAATGTCAGACCCCGTGTCAGCCCTCGGATCCTTGAATGTCAGACCTCATGTCAGCCCTCGGATCCTTGAATGTCAGCCCTCGTGTCAGCCCTCGGATCCTTGAATGTCAGACCTCGTGTCAGCCTTCGGATCCTTGAATTCCTCAGACTCCAATAAACCCCAGACTCAAATAAACCACAGACTTCAATAAACCACAGACTCCAAAAACCCCAGACTCCATGAAAACCCAGACTCCAAAAAAAAAAACAGACACCAGAAGCCCCCCAACCCACACCAGCCCTCGGACCCACACCAGCCCTCGGATCTCTGAAGCCCTCGCATTCACTGAGCCCTCAAACCTGCAGTCGTCGTTGAATTTCAGCGTGGATATTTACGAAAAAGTTACAATTTTTACATATATTGTTAAAAAATAATAACTCTAGTTAAAGAAGTGTAATTTTGATATCCTTTTAGTTAGTTAAGATCAGGCGTATATCGAAAAATTCCAGAATTTTAATTTAATTACATAATATTTCGGTTCGAAGTAAGGATTTCTAATGAAGTTAATAGTTATGCGACAAAGTTGTGCGACAATTTAAAATGAGAAGTTTAGATAGTAAAATTCAGTCACGGTTTGATATAATTTGAATTTTTCATTTATTCACTCACTTTTCCTGATGAGAACAAACGAAGAATGAATCTAACTGTCGTCGTTTCCATACTTTGATTCCATTCCAACCAACCTTTGTTCCAATGATTCCATTCCAACCAACCTTTGTTTCCATTCTACCAACCGCTAACTAAGCGTTAAGAATTTCCACCGAATTTCTTAACGTAAACCGACCGAAACCAACCTACTAACCGAATTTCTTAACGTAAATTTCAAAAAGTATTTGATAATTTGTCCTGTTTCATTTGATTGACTCACATAATCTGCAGCTGCGGGTGATTCAGATCCTATCAACATAAGATTCTCATACGATGATTTCAGATTCATCGTATGTGACGAACGGAATTTCAAATATTCCTACAACTTATCCGGCTTAAAAATTATCAACATGTCATCTCTTGCCAGTATCTTTATAGTTGTTATAAAAAAGAGAAAGAAAAATCCCCGAGATTTGTAATATTGAGATGATTCTTTAATATAATTACGCTATTAACGCTGCTGAACATGACATTCATTAATTCAGCCTTGAAATAGAGTTTACTGCAACTCTGTAATTTCGACGCCAGATCCTCATCTCTCGACCAAGTTTTAAAACATTCCACATCGGCAAACCACATTAAACATAGGAAAGCCGATACAAAGTTTCTGTACCTATTGATATTTCGGCAGCAGAGCATCACTGATCAATAAATAGCAGTAAATACAGCAATAATTTAAGCACATTTCAATAGTCAACACCACCGTGCGTTGAAATCAGTAACTATATCCGAACACATCCGTTACCATTACAACTATCTCGGCGCAACACGGAACGTTACTCTTCACCTCGGCGCAACGCGGAACGTTACTCTTCACCAGAACCAAATGAAAGTTTTCTCCGTCAGAATATGTTGGCAAATTTGAAAAAAATATATATTTTATGAGATTTCATGTTTCAGTGACCTAGTAATACTGATTTATCTTTTTCTGGAGACTCATGGGAAATTAAGTTATGAAATTACTTTGGTCACAGTAAGGCAGAATAAGATTATATCCATCTATTTCGAATAAACAAATTTTCATGAACCATGCGTAACAGAATATACACCAGTATTTTCGACATAAGAGTTTGCAAAAAAACCTCCTAAGTAACCTTTTTCCTATTACACATCATTTATCATAAATCTATTATTACACTTTTCCATGTTCTATTAATACGCTATAATGGAATTCCTGTTAATTTTACGCTCCTTAGCTATTTCTGCCCTAAAATAATTTTCGCGGATAAACCCATGACCAAGATTGTTAAATTTCTCAAACCTGGCAATACAACTTACCCTGCTATCTATTATACTTTTTTGGATGTTTGTTTGTTGTTATGATAGCGCCTTCCTGATGGAGGTCAAACCATCCACATAATTCTCTGCTGGAATCGGCTTGAAATGTAAAGATTTGTTTGAGCGCGTACGTATCAACGACGTGAGTCATATTCGACTCATTCAAAAATGTTATCAATATATATCATACATTTTATCTATCAACGGTTTGTGGTATGGAAGTCTTCAGGCAGATTGGTGATGATCTGCCCGGGGCAATGCCGTTTTGCTTGAAAAATGTCTTCATTCTGATGCTCATTGATGCTCCATCGGTGCCAATTGGTAGGTATTAAGGGAAAAAAAAGTTTTTTTCGGGTAGGGTGGCCATCGGCTGGTTATGGGTGGAACATAGGCTGGACAGATCACCGATGCGCCATAGGTGCCATATCAATGATTTCCGTCAAGTTCTACTAATAAATCATCGATGCTCCACCAATGTATTTTATTGAATTGAGATGTATTTCCCTGGCTAGAAGACACGGTTGCAACGACAGAGTGATGATGTCGAAGTCGACAAAGGAAAAGGATTGAGGAGTTAACATCGACAATGAGTTGAAATTTTCTAAGCATATTGAAGGTCAAGTTAATAAAGCCAATACTGGAATTATTTATTCAAATAAATCAAATCCAGTTGAGGAGGCCTAATCTGCACAGGAAAATACCCAGAAAACGTGCATCAGTCCTAGTGAAGAAATTCCTCATGCTACAAATAGCGACGAATAAGTAGCATCTATTGCCCTGGAATTATTTATTCAAATAAATCAAATCCAGTTGAGGAGGCCTAATCTGCACAGGAAAATTCCCAGAAAACGTGCATCAGTCCTAGTGAAGAAATCCCTCATGCTACAAATAGCGACGAATAAGTAGCATTATCGGTACCATCAGGCTTGTGGACCCAAGACATGGTGCCTTTCGGGTACGACTTTTGGTACCAGCCTGGTCACGACATGCTCATCTCCAGCGAGTGGGGCGCGCCCTCAGCTTTCTCCGGAGGCTTCAACCCCAGCGACGTCGCCGCTGGTGGGTGACTTTGTAACTAAATTATTTTCCTTACTTGTTGTTAGTCCACGCGTTCAGTTACAGAGAACACGTTCTATATTCGGCAGGTTTATAATAATAATAATAATAATAATAGCGGTTTCAGCGTTATTAGGCCGTAGGCCTGTCGCCGATTCTTAAGATCGCAGAACATTCACAGCATTTTGCGGTCTCGAACTCGCAACTCACTGCTACAATTCTGCTATGCTTAACCGCCCGGCCTCCTTGCCGATTCTGACCAGAAACTGGCGCACAGAGCTGGGATCGAACCCGCGCCTCTCTGCGCCAATCCTGGTACTCTGAACTTTAGCCACTGGCCACCCTGCCCAGGTTTGATATTACAGAGGTGTAACTGTCATACATATAGACGACTTTCAGACATCATCAGTGTACGCCTGACGGCTTAACATTTTGCCCGTGTAATGGACACACAATTTTCGAAACGTGTTACTGAAGACCCAAACCGCTCATCAGAGAGCGCATTCTATTGCGTAAACGCTCAATGTGGCTCACTAATTGCGGCCAGGAACACGATTTATGATCAATATATAGGCGTACGTATAGAAGTTGCTGAATGTTAATATGAGACCCACGTTCCAATAACTTATTCATCAAAATTCATTGTTAAAGGTGTAGGTGAAGGACCTGGTAGTAGGATTAGGTGGGGAGTGTAGTTAACCTAAAGAGCGTCGACGATGTCTAATGCAATTTTAGGTTTTGAATATTTTTTATTGCAAGGAAAATTATGTGTATAATGAAGAAATCAGGATAGCCATGATATCATGATTTATGACGATGAGAAACCGTCAGGAAAGTTCGGCACACACCTGAACGTGTTCTCATGGAGCAGCCGCAAGCTGCTGCAGCGTAATTACGTTTATTTACTAGTAATTACTTAGTAATTCCTACATTATTATGATTTATGAGGATGTTAAACGGTCAGGAAAGTTCGGCACACACCTGAACGTGTTCTCATGGAGCAGCCGCAAGCTGCTGCAGCGTATAGACCTGGGGCCTGAAGGAGTCATGCCGCTCGAGATCCGCTTCCTGCACGACCCCAACGCCACCGAAGGATACGTAGGATGCGCCCTCTACGCCAACGTCTTCAGGTAGGACTTCATTGACCCCAGATCTATTGTTTTAACCCCAACGCCACCGAAGGATACGTAGGATGAGCCCTCTACGCCAACGTCTTCAGGTAGGACTTCATTGACCCCAGATCTATTGTTTTGACCCCAACGCCACCGAAGGATACGTAGGATGAGCCCTCTACGCCAACGTCTTCAGGTAGGACTTCATTGACCCCAGATCTATTGTTTTGACCCCAACGCCACCGAAGGATACGTAGGATGCGCCCTCTACGCCAGCGTCTTCAGGTAGGACTTCATTGACCTCAGATCTATTGTTTTTTTTTAATCATCACATTATGGTGAAAGATGAGCTTATTTATTGTTATATATCCATCAATGCATTATGTTAGATACGCTAGAGGATACATGGGATGCAAGTCTTGCCTATGGCTATGCTCTGCTCTGTCTGTGGGTGCGACTTCATTCACTGAATACATAGATTCTAAACCACGCAATTTGTCTCTTTTTCTTTCAGTTTCCACGAGAATATGCCGATGTATTATTTTCATCGAGATTCAGGAGCAATTTTTCTGCCGTTAGCTTCAAGCTTATTTTACCTCAAACCAGTTTTGATATTATTATTATTATTATTTTACCTTTGAGTGTTTACCTCAAACCAGAAGTTCTTAATTCAAAGCTATTTCCTTTTCTTGTTCTTATACCTTTCAGTCATAGTTCGATTCTTTAAGAAATAAGTTATCCATAATAGTTAAGTTAAGTTAAGACTTGTGTTTGATGTTGATCTTATGAAATTTTGTTATTGCATTAAAATGTAGTAGGTAAAATAGAAGTAAATGTATTAAGACCGGCCTCAGGTTCTACCGGGAAGAGTCGGGGCAGTGGGCCGCCCACAAGGTGATCACCGTGCCGCCCAAGAAAGTCCAGGGATGGGTCATGGAGGACATGCCTGGTCAGACTTAACTAAATCGCTGCTCATTACTACTGTCTCTTGATACTTGTTGCTATATCACTAATAGTAGTAATGAAATTATTATTAGTTTTGCCAATAATGGTAACAATGCCTATATATCAGTAGTAATTCCACCAATAGCAGTAATGCAAGTAATGTCCAATAGTAATGTCACGCACTCCGTGATGCCAGCAAGTAGAGGGCATACCATGTACTAAATATGTACTAAGTAATAGTAAGTATTGTTCATGTACTAATATATATAGTATTGTATATGTACTAATATGTATATTTCCATGTGGTCTGAGGTTATCCATGTCCTATATAACAGCTAATTATGATTTATACTAAACTTGTTGATTCCACTAGACATTTTTTATAAAAATCATATTTTGTAGTCCATTGGGGTATACTTCTCGGACGCTTGCCTCAGCCCCAAGCGACTTACAGGACAGGTTAGCTGAAGATAGGTAGGTATATAGTATGTAGGGTTAGGTTAAGTTGGGTTTAGGTAGGTGGGGTTAAGTAATATAAGGGCCAATATGTGAGGTTGGGTAAAATAAGGTCCAATAATTTAGTTAAGGTACTATAAGTTCCATTAGGTGAGGTTAGGTAATATAAGGTCCAATAATTGAGGTTGGGTAATATAAGGTCCAATAGGTGAGGTTAGGTATTATGAAGGCATAACAGCATAGTGGTTAGGTTAGGTAAGGTTAGGTTGGGCAATATGGTGAGGTTAGGTGAGGTTAGGTAATATAAGTGCATAGCATCATAGTGGTTAGGTTAGGTTAGTTAAGGTTAGGTTGGGCAATATGGTGAGGTTAGGTAATATAAGTGCACAGCAGCATAGTGGTTAGGTTAGGTTTGAATGGGTAATACAGTATCCAGTCCAAGTAGGTGAGGTTAGGTAATATAAGTGCATAACAGCATCGTATTTAGACATCAAATTAAATGATGATGGCCAATGATGAGGGCAGGGGTGATGACGGACATCCTGGTATCTCTGGACGACAAGTTCCTGTACTTCAGCAACTGGGTGCACGGCGACGTGCGGCAGTACGACATCACCGACACCCGCAACCCCAAGCTCGTGGGGCAGCTGTTCCTGGGGGGCTCCATAGTCAAGGGAGGTCAGTGTGGGGGTTGNGAGGCGTCGTCCAGGAGAGGCAGCGTTAGGACGAGGCGTCGTCTGGGAAGGCAGCGTTAGGACGAGGCGTCGTCTGGCAGAGGCATCATTAGGACGAGGCGTCGTCCAGGAGAGGCAGCGTTAGGACGAGGCGTCGTCTGGGAAGGCAGCGTTAGGACGAGGCGTCGTCTGGCAGAGGCATCATTAGGACGAGGCGTCGTCCAGGAGAGGCAGCGTTAGGACGAGGCGTCGTCTGGGAAGGCAGCGTTAGGACGAGGCGTCGTCTGGCAGAGGCATCATTAGGACGAGGCGTCGTCTAGGAGAGGCAGCGTTAGGACGAGGCGTCGTCTGGGAGAGGCAGCGTTAATACGAGGCGTCGACTGGGAGAGGCAGCGTTAGGAGAGGCGTTGTCTAGGAGAGCCCGAAGTATGACCCCTGCTGTGCTCAACCGCCCGGCCTCCTCGCAGATTCTGACCAGAAACTGGCGCACAGAGCTGGGATCGAACCCGCGCCTCTCTGCTCCAAAGCTTGGAACTCTGAACTTTAACCACTGGGCCCCCTGTATAATTTTAATCAAACACATTGTCCTTGGGTGAATCTTTAGACAAAAAGTCAGTCTCCTATAAAATCTCTAACACGTTTCACTCATTTAATCTACTATTTCGTATCTACTCATTTGAACCGAGATTAAAAAATTCGTCCAATATTTTATGATTGTAGTTCAGTATAAGAAGTTTGCGACTCAGGCTTTGTCCAGAAAAAACAGTTCAGTACAGTAACATAATAACATTACTGCACCATAACAACAGTACGGTACAGTAGTAACAGTATTTCGACATAAAAACAGTACAGTAATGTTTCGTGATAGACAGTGTTGCACAGTATCATGACAACAGTACAGTCCTGCACCGTAATAACAGAGCAGTACAGTATCCCAACAACAGTACTGCACCATAACAAGAGTAAACACTTATCGTGTCCAAACACCGAATATCGTTGCGAAAATAGAACGACTATGTCCTAATTTCTGCGACTATGTCCTAATTTCGATTCATCGCGTATACTTTCACCTTCATGTTGATGTACGTACTTCTTCTTTGACCCACTAGTGTCAATGAAAGATATTCAGGCTTGGGATCCATGATGAAGGGTGTTATAGAGTGAGGAAGACTAATATGTGCCGCGTATAAGAACATGCCTCATATAGGTACCTTTATGCCGCGTGCAACCGGGCCCAATATTCTGTTCTTTTGACTAAGCGCTTAGTGACTTCAACTCAATCATGGATCTCAGCTGTCTAAGAAAAATAATAATAATTACAATAAATTAATATAATATTATTTAGACGAGCTGAAGCCACTCCTAAATAGGCCTATTGACGCCACCGGTATCAACGTGAAGAAGAAATAATCAGCAAAAGAAGTTTCAAGAGAACGTCTTAAATGAAAGACTTGCGTAAGTTTTTTTCATCTATTTATGAAATCCTTATTAATATCTTCGTCGAAACTCAGGTGTCCATTATCAGGTCTACAGCGCTTTAATTATCTCACTAGGAGTGATGAACGGCGGCGAGACTATCAGAAAGCGCAGAAATTTTACGCCTAACGAAGCGTCACGATAGATAATGGAAGATCTAAAATTACTCCGTGGGTTTGTCCGAGCTGCTTTCTTTTCAACATCTCGTTAGTAATCGCATTTATAATGCAGGTAATTTTCGAAATTTTTATATTAAAAATGAGCTGAATCTCGGAAAAATTAAGCGATATGAGAACATGGGATGCACGAAGCCAAGCATCCACCCATTCGGACACAGTTATCCTGTGTTGCTGCTTGGCTGCGAAGCTCTGACTTTCGCTTTAACATAAGCTCTCAGGCCCAACGGTCATCCTTGTGCTTGTCCTGTGGCTTTCAGTCCACCCAACTTGGACACCTTGATAAGAAGAAGATCTGACCTTCGCAAGTCACAAGCACAACGATAGTCTGTTCACTGCCGCCACTGCTCAGTGACGCCAGTCTGGAGTTGAACGGGTGTGTGTCATACGATACTGTGTTGCGTATATTCTCATAGAGAAGTTCTGATTATCGATCAGAATTTACCAAAATGTCTTGCAAAAACAACGGTAAGTCGACAGTAATGAATGGAAAGCTAACTTACTAAAATATATTTCAAATAAAAGTAGTAAGCTGTTGATTTAATGAAGCCAATTTTGCGGCACCTCATTCAGGCTCCTTCAGTTCATGCCAATAAACTCTCTGCTCGCTTGTAATTATGCGTTAATATATATAATTATTTTGTATTATTTTTACTCTGAATTCACATTTACTCTAGCACTACATGATAAACTGATTACTCCCACCTATGTATATACATATGTTTTGTTTTTGCGTGACAGTTGTGACGTAACTTGCATGGTCATTGTGCATGCAGCATCTGCGTTTAGACACGTCAAACTTTCTGCAATAAATTCAACGTAGTTTCGAAGTCCGTGTACCTAGTAGTTATAAAGCAGAGTGATTCAAGTATTATAGTGTCATATTTGNTGACAGCAGCACCTACTGCCAGGTGCTGGTAGTGACAGCAGCACCTGCTGCCAGGTGCTGGTAGTGACAGCAGCACCTCCTATTAGTATATATATGTGGACGAGCACCTATATACATACCTGTATATATAAGGATACGCTATGTCACCTTATAGAGGCCCTTAGCAGCGCGTTGCGTTGCGGCATTGAAACTTTGGTTGGCAGTTTTGCATGGAGGAATTTATATTCAATGAATAATGCCATCACGATCAAATTCTAATACAAATCTTATAATCTTTATTTAACACACTTCTAATTGTCCAATCGATCTGAAATTCTGCTCTCTTACAGTCTTACGTAAAGTCGGCGACATTGCTTGAATCAATTGACAGAATGCATAGTTTAAATAATTTTTTCTTTAATAATAAAAGAAATGTAAAAAATAATATTTTTTAATTCTTTAAAATAACGTAAGAATTTCATTTTACATGTGTAACATCGGAGAAAGTCGCCTGTTTAGAAGTGTATTCTTTAAAAAGTAATTTATAGACGCATATTATTTCAAAATAGGATGTCAGGTTGGTTGCTTTGCTGACATCAAGGAAATTATTAAATAAAAGAGAGTTAAGTATTTATTATTAATTTACTCTCTCTTTATTTTACTTTAGTAAATTATACCTTAGTAAATTATTGAGTAAAAGAGAGAGTAAAGTAATTACTATAACTTTACACTTTCTTTACTTTACTTTAGTAAATTATTAAGTAGAAGAGAGGTTGTTAAGACACAACAAACTTCATTTGAAGTTTGCTGTGAGCCTGAATATATTTTTGGATTAATGTGAATAACGTTTAATAATAATCAAATGATAATCTTTGTCTTAACGCTTAACATTCATCAAAACCATTAGAGATGAATATCTTCTGATTTAAGTATATAAAACACCAAGTTATTTTCTCTCCACCTTTGTCATTGAATAAGTAGAAATAATGTGACTGTTAGTGATAAAATCAATATAAAAAATATATCATTGCTGCAAGCACTGACACCTTGCACCTATATATTGTCTTCAACGTTAAAAATTTAGCGTAATTGGAAGTACCATGGCTGAACATGGATGATCAGAGTGGTGATCAATTAAAATACTAAAGAACATACAATTTTCCTTAATTTATCATTCTGGAGGTATATTAAATCTTGTCGGACGGAAAATTCAAACAAGTTGAGAGAAATACTCAACACTTGTGAGAGCCCCAGACGAGCGTGACCGGAAACCGGAAAAGGAAAAATGACTTCCTACGTATATAGAGCTGACAATACTTCTGCTCATTTAATGCTCAGATTCTGTTAAATCTAACGCCTAAATTTTAAATAATTTATACACGGATCATTTTACAATTTTCAATTGAAGTCCGATCATGTAAGTCACAAGATTTTGTAAAAAATTTATTCTAAGAAGATAATTTGTCCGTTTGACGAACGGTTTCATGTGAAGCTTTAGAATCGCTGATTCGGTAAGGGCTTTGCGCTCGTGTATGTGTGTGTGTGCGGTGCCACTAGGAAAGAGTGGAAAAGAACAAGAGGTGGCGCAGAGTGGCCAGAAAGAAGAATGAGAAATGGAAAAAACAGTGGCCCGTATGCTAAATAGAGCAATAGCACTACGAAGTAGCACTACGCACTACAAGCCGTAGTGCCTACTAGTGTGAAAGGGTAACACTACAGTTGGCATGCTAAATATGGCACTAGCACTATGAAGTAGCACTACGCACTACAAGCCATAGTGCGGCATGGAACACTACGGTTGGAATGCTAAATAGGGCACTAGCACTATGAAGTAGCACTACGCACTACAAGCCATAGTGCGGCATGGAACACTACGGTTGGTATGCTAAATAGGGCCAAAAGCATAACGCGCACTACAAAAATCTGAAGTGTCCTACACACCGCACTTCACGATGACACTACGGTATAATTAACCTTGTTTACTTCGTCAGCTATGGATCTGTTTGGCTTACAGCAAAGACATCATCGCGTAAAAACCTCAGGAGCAGCATGCCACGAATATAAAAAAGTGTACCGTATCAGTGATGGACAGTGAACAACATGTTATTCTTATGGCTGACGTTTTCCTTGGCGAAACAGATGAACAGCGTAGAAGTAGAAAATACATCTCTTGTTTTTGATACCATGTTTTGAATTTTATTTTTTTGTTTTTTTCTGGAGTCATTTTGAATCTTCTGCAAGAACTTTCCATGCTTCTCTCTTTTGTTCGATGTCTTTGGGAAGCGTGGACTTTGAATATATGATGGGAAAGGTGCGCAGACGCATTGCGAATTTCAGCTTACCATCATAATTAGACATTTTACATCAATTTTCTGCAAAGAGTGAGAATTACTTAGGGAATAATTAATTATTTGAGCACTTAACTACCATTCTTCCATAGACTCATAGCGTAGTGCGGCACTATAATGTACTCTAACAGCGAAGTAGCACTTCAAAGTCTTTCTGCATACGAATCAGTAGTGCGACACTAAGCGACACTAAACATTGTAGAGCTACTTCGAAGTGCTTAGTGTATGTGACGTATTTAGCATACCAACAGACACTTCGTAGTGCATAGTGCTACTTCGTAGTGCTAGTGCCCTATTTAGCATACGGGCCAGTAGGAGATGAAAAGGCGCATTGCGCATAATTGGGTTGGCTGTAGGTGGTTGGGGGTGTTAGGAGCTGAGGAAGGGGGATGTGAACCCGTTTGCGCTCGTCCGAAATCCTAAATCGAGAACGAATATTAACTCTGATGAGATTTCTATGATAAGGGAGACTTAAATTGATTGTTAACCGGATTCTTCGATAAAATAATAATTAATATCGAAAGAACCTGAATACAATTAGAGTTAAAATATACCTCTGAATATCGAAAAATTCTTTGAATATATAAAATAAGGCAAAAATATTTCAGAGAAAAAGTGAGATATATATTGGTAGAGAAAGAATCACTTCTATAGAATAACTGTCAGTGTATTATATCATATATAAAAAAGTTCAAGAATCGGCAACAGGCCATGGGCCTATTTCTTCAGCGCCGACACTTCTATTCTATTCTAGACTTGCGCGCTTAACGCAATCCGCAATGAATATGCTGAAATTGCTCATAACTGGACATTTAAGCGCATTTTCGCTGCTAACTATTCAGGTATTTCTAGTTTTGTCAATATTTTCTGATGGTAAACGATCATCAGCTAGGCATTTTGTATTTCCAAGAGAATTACCAAGGACAACTTTCGTATTCAAAATCGTTGAAATCAGGAAAGATGCTGCACATAATGCGCGGTCATCCATGGCATGGCGTGCAACTTCTTTAATTTTTTAATTACGGCGTGAAGAAGGAAACCTGCAACTGATCGCTCTTAAATCAGATCCACGGCCAAGTTTTCGGCTAACGCCAAAAAATCAAAGATCAATCCGTGCTTCATGTGAGGGAAGAAAATAGGTATAGGTTTAATACAATATTTCTCTACAAATATTGATGTTTATCATAATTATTATCTAGTAGCTCTGCCGTCAGTAGTTAACGAATGCATGACCGGGAGAATGTGCCAAGGGAAGAATTTGGGTCACGTTTGCACTATTTTATCGGAGAGCGATGGGAGTTTTAACCACCTGCACCGAACACCTCTGTTATACCAGGATATTTTTCTCAGGAAGGTTTAGCTGCATCATCCTACAACTGATTTTTGTAAATAAGGAATATTTGCAGTCATTTATTATAAAAAAATTTAGGCATTCTGGTTCGGTTTGGGCCATCGTGGGAATGACCGAAGTTTCCAAATGAATACGTCAACTTTCGCCAAAAATACTGTTAATTTTAAAGTAGTCTACAGGAGTCTTCATGCAAGGGCACAGAAATTCTTCAATCGCGGCAAATACTTACTATCCTTCATCGATAATCAAATCAGACAGAAATCTCAGGGGTACGAGTCGTAAGGTAGCGGGTGGTGACTGGTGACGTTGGTACAAGCTACGCCGAAACGCGGAAGATTAGGCATCGAGTGACGTGAGCATGAGGTACGAAGAAAAAGCACAAGACAATCACGACTGCAGAGAGTACGAGTCTCAACATTCCGTTGTGAAAAGTAAGTGATGTGGTACGATTCTAGGAGCTACACCGACATGCGAAAAGGTTAGACATCGAGAGACGTTGGCACTAGCCACGCCAAAAGGCCAAAAGTTAGTGATGGATGCCGAGAGTACGAGCTTCGACACGTCACTGAGCTAAGCGAGTGATGTAGGTACGAGTCACAACAAAACGCTGCAGGACCAAAGAAGCGGCTACTGAGGGAATGAGCCTCAACTAGCCGCGCAGGAACGAGTGCTATGGGTACGAGCCACACCGAAACGCTGACATACTGACAGGTACATTTCGCACGATTTGAAAAGCCGGGTGATGCTGGTACGAGCCGCAGCACTTTGCTGCAAGAACTGCACCTATGCCGTATGATTCCTTAAGTGGATCTTGTGCCTATGCCTGGTTTAACTGAGTGCACTGTGAGGCTGTGAGTAGGTTATGCCTGCGAAATATTTCCGCAACTACGGTCGAGTCTTACTAGCCCACATCTGGCTCTCTGAATTTGACTCGAAACTTTCAAATTTTACATCACCTTTACTTAGTCATATTTTTCACTAATACCAAAGTATGTTGAACAAAAGTTCTCTTCTAATACTATTAAATTCTCTGAGCTCAGTCAAAACTTTATTCTACGAAAAATAAAAAAATTATACGAGATAAGTTTACCGTCGCATGTTGACGTTGGTGCCTGATTGCTACCACATGAAATGCTGCGGCGCTGGTACCGTGACAAGCAAATTCGAGTTCATTGCCCAAAAAATAAATAAGTTTCCTCAATTTCTTGCAAAAGTAGCACCCATGTTTAAATTCTGCATTAGATAGATCGAAAAAAATTGGACGGCCATAAACTTTTGAGCTTACAGTTGAATTTATTTATAAAAACTTGTTAACCAAATTGAGATTAATAGTAAATAAGCAAAGGTATTCCAAACCCGAATAATTTATTATGTTTGTTTAAAATTGAATTTGTAATTGTATTTGTATATTGTTTCATTCTAGGGGAACATGATGTGTTAATGGGGCGTTAAGGATATTATGGGTGATTATATAGTTGAGGGACGTGGAGAATGTTGCAACGGGCGAATCATTGGAACGTAGACGATTATGAATTTTCATAAAAATTAGGCATGTAAGAGATAGCCTATCGTTCGAAAAAATGAAGATATTCAATCTCACAGGAAAAGAGTTATGTAGCATTGGGAATTAGACTTAGACCCAAAATAGTTGCAAATCATTGCAATGGTGAACATTGTTAACGGGATCTTTGAATCTATCGGAAGCAATTATTGATTTGGAGAAGGTTGATTATTTTTGTGAATAACTAAGGGTCTTTTGGAAAGGAGGTCATGGAAAATGGGTCTTTTTATGTAGAATTTTTTTCATGAAGTTAACTACGCACCATCGCTTACTAGTCTCACTTTCATTCTCTGATAACATATGTCACGCAGAAAATAGATTTTTTATTTAATTTGTTTTCCAAAGATCAATGATGTGAAGCGAAATCACGAATATTGATGTTCATCGTGCTCAGATGATAATGACTTGCTGTATCGTTTATTAGATGACTTAACAAAAACATTTCAAGTAAACGTCCGGAATAAAAAACTTAAGTGCTCTGAGCAGGTGGCTGAAATTCCCATCGCTCTCCCATAAAAGCGGCAGCGCTATTGATTTTGTCAGGTTCGGAGGATGATCATCACGAAGCAATTAGTTCTGTGTGTCTTGGTAGCCTCGACAGCCGGTGAGGATGGAGATGGATGAAAGAAACTCATGTGAAACATTTAAATCTCGTTGATCAGGTCACGATAATTTTACCCCTACTTGTAGATTTATGCATGCATTTTGTGAATAATTATCAGACTAAGTGTAGTTGAAATAATCAGCGTACGACCACGTCAAGCACTAAGGGAATGGAACTGCGTAGGAAACAATTCCCAAAATATTTTTGAAGGAAAATCCTTCAAAATCGACTGACGTTAATTCCGAAATATGGACCTCTCGCCATCAATATTCTGTGGCCTTTTATTAAAAATATTGAATGATTTAAAAATGTTTCGTTCGTCAAGCTGTGCTGTACTACGTACAATGATGATCAACTTGATCATTCATTTTCGCTTTTATGTATATAGCGAAATAATAAACGTCTTTGCTCAAATATTTTTTGGAAATATTTTTAACATTTCTCATCGGGAAGGCCGATAGGATGAAACAATGTTGTAATTAAAGAATAATTATACACGTGGACGTGGTAAAAATATTCTGCAATGCTAAATTCACACAAAATGACAAATTTCCGCCTTTAAACTATAAACCATTTTCATATAAAAATGAACTGAGTGCTCTAATCTAGTTATTTCTTTATTTTTTTTCTACTTATTTATAATTGTATACAAGTAAAAATTCCAACAATATGAAATTTACTTTCAGTAATGGTTGAATGTTTGAATGTTGTAGCGGCGACGTCAACAATGCAAGAATCCAACGGGAGCCAAAACAAGATAGTCGGTGGCACAGATGCTCATCCTGGTCAATTCCCCTTCCAGTTGGGTTTTTATGACGGACATACCATACCGACTGAATTTGTTTGCGGAGCTATCCTCTACCATAATGATACCATGATAACCTCTGGAGGTTGTGTCCGATACTTCAACCACGACAATCCTGATTCTCTCGTGGTTAGAACAACTGGTTTACATGATTCAATGGTCGATTGTTAATCTTTTCACAGAAGTTTCATCTTTTAATAAACATTAATCTTACGAGCATTAACAGGTTGAATTTCTTGTTTCAGCAGTCAATCCAGAAGTCTTGAAGCCAGCAAATGCATTCAGAGATTTATTCTTTAATAAGTGTATTTATGCAACTTTGACATATGAGAGGAAATTTATGTTTTCAATTATCAGTCAAGATTCATCTGATTTGCATGATATTTAATAAAACTAAAAAATTATTTGATTTCATATGTGAAGGATAATAATACATCAATCTCTCAGAGATGAGCCATTATAATCAGAGATTAGTAAACGAGCTTCCATGCATTAGGGAGATTTTTGACTAAATTTCATAACTAATGCAAGCAAAAAAAAACAATTCCAATCCTACCTCGAGCACCTATCGATAAATTAACACTAAATGTACAGCTGAATGAAGGGAGTGTTCAATTTTCTATGATCATGGCCACGACTATTATTCATAGTTTTGATCGCTTATTTTTTAATCCAAGTTCAACCGTCATTCTAGATCTCATTTACTTAAATTTTTCACAACATTTCATATTCATCGAAGGAAACTCATTATGTCAAGCGCATTCATTATGTTCGATTGCAAACAAGCAATAAATTAATTGGATTTTAACAATTGAAATTATATATGTAAATATTTTACAAATATTCCATCTTACGCGACTAAATTCCTTTATCAATGATAATAAAAGCATATTTCTCCTTGGTTTTAGGTTGTTGCTGGGGATTTGAATTTGTACCTCGATGAAGAGACTGAGCAGAGGAGAACAGTCATCCGGATCATCTCGCATGAGGGATATAACCCTGAAACTCATGAAAATGATATTGCATTATTGAAAATTGATCGTCCTTTCGATTTAAACGAGTATGTGTCCGGTGTGACCCTCCCTGATAAGTTGCAGAGCTTCTCTGGAAACGCTTTCGTGTCCGGATGGGGAACCTTGAGCTCAGGAGGCTATCGTCCACTCGTCTTGCAGTACGTAAACGTGCCCATCGTCAGCGATGAAGCTTGTAGAAGCGGCTATGGAGATTTAGCTTGGAAAATTAAAGACTACATGATCTGCGCTGGTGAAGAAGGCAAAGGCCCTTGTTCGGGAGACGGTGGTGGTCCAATGATATGCGGGGATTATCTCTGTGGAATTACTAATTGGGGATATGGATGCGGATTGGCTGGCTACCCGGGAGTTTTCACAGAAGTATCATACTTTGTCGACTGGATTCAAGCCAATGAATAAGCCGTTAATCGAACGTAAATCAAAATAAGTCATGTCCAAATTCAGCGAAGCATCCAAAATTTTTCCTACCAGATTTTCGCACAATAAAACTAGCCAAAATTCTGAAACGTACGTAGAATAGAACGAGCTTCAGTTCTGAATCTGAAGTATGAAATAATATACACCATGAAACTCAATCAAATATCCCGATTCTGTTAAAATAAAATGCATAACTCGTTAGCCAATTCAAATTAGAATCACTGAAGATAAATCCTAAATTGATTTACATTAGTGACACATATCAACCAAATCATTTTACATTACAAAGAAAACATGCAAGTAAATAGCTATGGAAGATTATGCACAATTATATATTGATGGTGAATAAATTTTGTTTTGTATCTCTTTTTCCTGACCTTTAAAATTAAGACTTTTGTAGTAACTGTGAATATGCTTTTCAAAACATTCTCCATTCAACCACTTCATGTTGCTCCTATTATATTTGATACAGACTTGTATTTGTCTTGTTCTCCATGTTCCTCTGAAAGGGCTCGTTCATAAGGACAGGATTAGCAGTTAACAGTTAAGCTTACAATAATGTAACGTAAAGTCTCGGGCATGGAGTAATTAACAATTAGATGAAAACACGAGCCAGCTACTATTTGTTTCGGGGCCGCAGAATCAAAACTATCCTAAGTACGTGCACGTATCGACCGATTTTTCATCTGTAATTGGCTGCCGAAGTTGTAAGTATAAAGAATATTTACATTATATATATTATATGATTTATAATGAATCACTCACAGGCAAGTCACCTCTGTCTACCATCTACCATACGAGATATTAAAATATTCCTTGAATATGTCTATTCAATAAGTCTAGCAAGACGAAAGTAATGATAAACCATCAGCGTCACGCCCTAAAGTAGCAATATTCTGATTGATAATGTTGCATCTGTACGTGTTTTGATGAGATATGATTATAAATTATCCCTCTTATATTGAAGCCGTTGGTAAGATGAAGCTGCAGAATACCTCGATGTTTGATGAACTCAAAATAGGCGGAGAATTATTCTTTGCAGAACATAAAATTTCGATTTTTCTTACTTAAGAATAAAAGAATTTAAATATTTTATATATTTCATCATCAATGGCTCTGTAATAATGCTTGTCACCGTGAAAGGACTGCGAACATCAAAATAACGTCGCTAAATCAGCTTAAGCAGGCAGAAATTGTTTACATGTCATGCACTCGAGGACGTTTTGCTATCGATGTTATCCAACAGTGATACTCGTCATTTCTCCTACGCTTTAAAGGCCTCTGGCGTGACCACGCTTTGGCGTTTATTGTGAATCATATTTTCACGACAAAGGCAATTGTTTTTTAGTTCTGTTCCAAATAACGTGTTGAATCAGTTTTAATTATAATTCATCGCAAAAAAATATTATTGACCCTTATTTCTTTTCCATTGCAATTGTGTTTTTGTGTCATATTCTGCAGCAAAATTGTTCATTATTACAAGGTCTTCTTTACATTTTTACAGAAAGGTTCCGAAAATCGGAATTGGACTGAAGGCCTTCAGAGCTATGACAAGAGGAAGGTTCTATTGGTGACTGCAGCTAAGGGAACACACACACAGTTTATATTTTTGTACATGAATTTTGCTTTATTAATATTGTTATTATTCATTCGGTTAGTTTCGATCTTTTTATTTTTTTGATGATGGAATGGGCTGCTGTACGATCGTAGAGGCTATGTCAGGAGCCCTGCAGGCTTTGTTGTATATTTATTTATTGAATGGCCCCGTAAAAATCATCACAGACACCAAATCACAAAACGAACATGTTTTCAACACGCTCACTTTCCAACCAGACATCACAGAAGTTCCAAAATTCACTCACCAGGTCCATCACCACCACCATTGCCGACATAACCATCAACAGCCCCCCTCCACCGCACTATCTGTAGCACGGGTCATGATGCGAGCTGATGTCAGTTGGAGCAAATTAATGTTTTCGGGTTCAATTGTCCCGGCGACGCTGACTAGCTGAAATTACAGCCGATGCCTCACATCTGAAACGATATTTAAAACTTACTCTAATTCAAATATCGAACTCTTATTTTCTGGGTGTCTAGCAACTCATCACCCTCTGCATCATCATCTCATCACCATTATCACTCTCCTAACCATTAGTATCATCAAGATCACATTTTAATGTGAAAATTTTAATAAAACAGTTAAAACAATGAGAGTTGAAACACGTAAATAGGAACAAAACCGGCCTTTATTTTCATTTAAATAACGTACGTGTCAATACTAACATGAAAATAAAAATAACACAAATAATTCTGGTCCCCATCCCCATGCCTGCCACGCAAATTCCTCCGTGCAAAATCGCCTAAGCCTTCCTCATCTAACTCAAACACGACCCCAAGAACAGAACAAAAATCAAATGCCCCTAGAGTGCATGCCCTTTTCGTCTTTCTCTTTTTTTCCTGCCTCCATCAGTTATGCCATGTGCCACATGTCATTTTCTCCACACTTTCTTAGTGGCATCACATCCTCCATCATTCCCTGTGCTGAGTCGCCATCAAAGTTTTTGGACCACATCGCTACACCCCTGCTTCTCAGTCATTATGAAAACGCTAGCATTTCCATAACAGCTCTCAGCTAAATGTTACGGTATATCCATGTCGTCCGTCTAGATCCGATATCACAGTTCAAATTGGACAAGACTTAACTGCTCCATCAGTAAATTTTTGAATAATAATTAGTCTATTAGTTAATGAGCATATTAAATAATTGATGTCACTTGTTTGCTTAAATCGCAAATTAACTAAGAATTTAAAAGTAAAAAACAGTCGACAAAAATTCATATCTTTATAGAAAACCTTTCGGAGACCAGCTCCATCGTGAGTTCGTAAAATCTAGAATCACAAATTAGAAGCCGCATATTAATACATTGAAAGCACAGAACGAAATTAAAAACCTAAATTTACAAATCATAGATGGAGAACAAAAAATTATCTATTGACAATTTCAAGGGGATAGGAGCTAACAGTTGAATTCAAACTGGGCCTAAGTTTAAAGATGTACAATGATTCTAAAGTACGCAAATCTGAAGTACCGGAGGTGGAAGCCAACTCCTTAAATTCATGGAAACCAACTCCTGTGCTCGGCATGAGCGCGCACAGCCGAATGAGGGCGAAGCGGTAACAACTGCCCGGTTCTACAACTCCTGCCCTTCCCAAATAAAAATTGAGAGTGGAGCACCTATGTTTTTATGGTGGCTATCGGCGGACCCCATAGGTGGAGCTTATATGATTTATACAGTGAATTAAGGGTGGCGTGCACCACCTATCCCACACCTATAACCTGCCAATGAATATTGTAAATATAATGGAACACACTTAATCGACCCATACAATTTATACTTAATAATAGACTAAGTAGTCTCAATTGATCGCAATATTTCCAACACAGCCAGTTGGTGCATACGCAAAATTCTTAATAAATTTACGCAACATTTCAAGTGAACATGAAAAATTGGATTCGCCGTCATGTATGGAAAAACTGTATTTATTGCAATCAAATTTTTTTATTGTTCCTCGGACAATTATATCAGGAACAGTCTGATACATGCCCAGTGGCTCCACTTTGGCTCAATAATTTTGTCAACGAACACCTTGCTTCTCTGTCAGCTTTATTGGTGCCTACCTAATTCACGCAAAATTTTCTTAACATAACTAATTCTTAAAAGCCAAGCACACAAAACGAAGTCATGGTTTCGTCTTGATCTCGAATGACCCGCAATCCAATAACACCTTTCTACGCTGGATAAATTACTGTGGCAAATACATTGTGCATTGTGTATAGGCAAACGGTTTTCAGTGGCTTAAAAGAGAATTGCCTGCAATGTGCTATCGATTATTCAGACCTTACAAATCAGCGATGATTCATAGATGACTGCCACCTTTACTCGCCACGCTTTCGATTTATTGATGTTTTATTGTCGATTTTTGGCAAATCTGGCCACTCACCGTTACGCCACCTATAATCATCGGTGCACCACCCTTAATTTTTATTTGGGAATAAAAATTGCGTGACCCTGGAATAAAGATTGCGTGACGTCATCCCGACGTACGCAGATGCACGTCGTGCACAACAATATTGATAAACCAGGGACGATCGCTTATGAACAGGGAGCATATCTTTATATCTAAAGAAAGAACCGATTGTGAAATTGTTTACCAGCACAATAAGAAGATTGCATGACATTTGGGAAGTATCTACCTAACAAGACTTTTAGTTCTCTTGACATAGCTTCGAACGCATGGCCGAAGTACGGAAAAGAACAATAAATAACTTTTCTAGTATCGCGCTCACTGTATCGCTTCGACATGAATGTCTTGATTTGGGTAAACACCAAATTTGACGGAAATCCATTAGGCGAGAAAACATTGCGTAAAAATTCAAATTCAGCGTGCATAGCATGGTATGTAGAACATATGCAGAAACCTCTGTGTAATAGTGTTTGAAGCCCATTCAACTTGAATCGGAATGAACAAAAACTAAAGAAACTGGTACTTAGGCCGGTGAAAGTCGGTTTTCGGTATACAGAACTCAGAAAACGGCCATTAGATTTGGTAACATTGCAATCTAACAAACATTGCAATATTGTTAGATTCAAGCTCCATAGTAAATTTGATGGAATTATGTTGCGAGTTTACGTAATCAAAGAATGGTTTGACATGAGAAGGATGTTTAGAAAATTACAGAGAATTACAGAACACTATTACACAGAGGTTTTCGCATTTGTTCTACATACCATGCTATGCACGCTGAATTTGGATATATATATAATAAATGTTCAATTTATATATGTTCGAAACGGCCTAACGCAAAATGACATTGCATGTACATCCTTGGTATTTGCTGTCTTGAACGCGCTTCGCTTGTAGCTTTCCAACGAGTGCAAACACTTTACAATTAACGCAAATATTGATCTATAAGTACCACTTTGTAAATGAAAATGTGTAAATATTGTTATAAAATGGTTATTTTATAATAGTTCAAAACAGCCTTGCGCAAACATTATTGCACGTACACATCCATGGTATTAACTTCGCTGAATGCGTCTTGTTTGTAGCTTTCAAACGAGTGCAAACACTTTGCAATAACGAGAATAATGATCTATAAATACAGTTACAATTTAAATAAGTCTATGTACATATTAGTAAAAAATATAACTCAGTACTCACTGAAATGAGTGACAGAGAGCGCATTTTCTCATCGACGAAAACTTGAGGTCACGGACTGACGGACGGACAGACAGACAGACGGACAGACAGACAGACGGACATGGCGAGCACAATAGTGAATTTTTTCCATAAATGAGAAAATGCACTAAAAATGCTCATTTGTATATTTTTTAAATTACTTTACGCAAAAACTAGAGTACGCACATATATGCGGTTTGCTGTGTTAGACGCGGCTCTCCAGCAGCTACAAAGTAAGCCACGAAAACTTATAAGCTAAATCTATCGATTTTTTGACCTAGACGCGCTCCCTAAGAAATGATGAATACAATTTTTCTTGTAATTATTTGAAAATATACACAAGAAATTAATAATTATTCAGGAAATGAATTTTATGCACATGACCTTGCGCTGGACCAACCTGTTATGAGGATTGGACTGAACTTAATGTGAACGCCTAGTGAGCTTTCTAAGCGGTGACGCTAAGCTCGAGGAAAAGCTATATTTATTAATTAGAAAAACTCTTAATTTTGGCTCACTACAATAAAACAGACAAATTTCTCATTATAACTTTAACAAACTTCGTCATCAACAATTTTGTTGAGTTTGTATGTCCTGAAGTTGTATAAATAAATGGATGTATGACTAATGAATGGAAATTCTGAGCTGTATACATTCACCATGACAGGATGCGTAAGATCAAGTTGTGGGTTCTTCAGTTTTGTCAAGTCAGTTGCTGTCGAAGGATCAAGTGGATCTGAGCGTTCCCTGCAGCCTTGTAACTTCTTGTCGGGGACGATTAGGGTTGCTGTCAGGTTGGNAGTAAAAAGATTAGGGTTGTTGTCAGGTTGGTTGCTTTGCTGACATCAAGGAAATTATTGAGTAAAAAGATTAGGGTTGTTGTCAGGTTGGTTGCTTTGCTGACATCAAGGAAATTATTTAGTAAAAAAGAGAGTAAAGTAATTATTATTTTTTACTCTCTCTCTCTTTACTTTATATTAGTAAATTATAAATTATACCTTAGTATATTATTAAGTAAAAGAGGGAGTAAAGTAATTATTAATACTTTACACTCTCTTTCCTTTACTTTAGTAAATTATACCTTAGTAAATTATTAAGTAAAAGAGGGAGAGGAACAATTATTATTCCTTTACTCTCTCTTTACCTTACTTCAGTATATTATACCTTAGTAAATTATTACGTAAAAGAGGGAAAGAAGTAATTATCATTACTTTACTTTCCCTATACTTTACCTAGTAAATTATTAAGTAAAATAAAGAGTGAAGTATCTAATATTACTTTACTCTCTCTTTACTTTAATTTAGTAAATTATATCTCAGTAAATTATTAAATAAAATACAGAGTAAATTAATTGGTATTACTTTACTCTCTCTTTACTTTACTTTAGTAAATAATTAAGTAATAGAGAGATTTTTAAGACACAACAAACTTCATTTGAAGTTTGCAGTGAGCTAACAATAATCTAATGATAATCTTTGTCTTAACGCTTAACATTCATCAAAACCATTAGAGATGAATAACTTTTGATTAAAGTATCTAAAACACCAATTTATTTCTCTCCACCTATGCCATTGACTAAGTAGGAATAATGTGAGTTAGTGATGTTATTTATGTATTTAAGAAGTGAATTACGTTTGAAGTAGAATAATAGAACCATTCATGATTTTTTAGCGAACCATTCAATGATTTTTTATTCACTAGTATCTATTTTAAATTTAACGGCTCGAAACATGTTTCGCACAGTTTTCATGGTTTTTTGAACACAGCATTGAAGTTGACTGATTCTATGCCTTTTTCGTTTACCTGATATAAATATATCATTCCTGCAATGATACGTATATATGATACTGCCACCAAGCACCTATGTAAAGTCTTCAACGTTCAAAATTTAGCGTCACTGGGTTAAGATACCATGGCTGAACATCGAAGAGCAAAGTGGTGATCAATTAGAGTACTAAAGAACATAAAATTTTCTCTAATTTACCATTGTGGAGGTATTAAATCGGGGCTCTAATTAATTGCTTTTGACATCTTTTGTGCCATGCGCGTTTGTATAAGTATCAGCTAGAATATAGTTAACCCTTGCTTACAGTGGGGAAAATAAGTATTTAGTCAGTCACCAATTGAAATTAAATTAAAAAGCGAACAAGCTGGCAGCTTGTTCGCTTTTACCACAATAGGTGCAGAACATAAAGATATTCACTGACGCTTGGCCAGTCCGACGAAAATTTCTTAAATTACGCCCGTACAAGTAGAATTTTTTCCTTATCTGTCCAACCAATTTATGGTGTAAAATTTAATGGCATGAAAAGTTTTGAACGTTTGATTGTTTCTGAATTTGTTCTTCCTATTCTGTCAATAGAAATCAATCGAACCAGCAAGATAATTCATAATATAAGTTTTCTTAGTTACATTCACTTAAATTTTAATTGCTCAACGCATTAAATAAATAAATTAAATGAGATTACGAATTTACAATTTTTCTCCCTTATTTTTATCCGCATTAAATTAAAATGCATTAACAAACTTTTTTGTCAGGTTCACAGATGGTGAGAGAATAACACCCAAGGACAGACACTGCAAACGAAGAGTAACTACTTCATCGGTGACTAGTTATGGTACAAGCCTTCAATGTATTTGTTGAGAATATTTTTAGTGCTTCATGTTGCATCGATGGCATTGGCTATGCCACCGCCGATGCCAGTGAGGCGTGTACTCAGGGGTATAAATAACGCAAGGCAACGGCTCCTGGGTAACAACATTGACCGTGTGGGCTGGACAAGAGAGACAAGCTTTATACCTCGGCCGCGCCCCTGTCATGGTATTTGCAAGATACTCGCCAGCAGCGGCGACTGCATCGACAACGTGGCTTGTATCATGTACATGGCTTCTCGCATGTCGCCGTACATGGCAGAATCCGTCCGCAGCGGCGGCTGCTTCACCGACGTGGCTTGTTCCTCGTACATGGCTTCCCACATGTCGCCGTCCATGGCAGAATCCGTCCGCAGCGGCGACTGCTTCAACGACGTGGCTTGTCTCTTGGTCTTGGAGTCTCACATGTCGCAGTTCATGCAAAGAATTCGATGGCAGCGGCGACTGCATCGCCGACGTGGCTTGCCGCCGGCGTAGATTCGTGAGTTTATGTGACGTTCTGCCACATTTATGTGACAGGTAATAATTGACCATCAGACAGTGGCATATTCATTATACATAAAATATGGCGTTTACATCGCCAGAATTGCATTAGTGAAATATTGATATGAAAACCATTGTATGTGTCATGCTACAACCTGCTGCTTCAACTCTATTCTTTCAGAAATCAGTCATAATGGTTAACTATTAATTATTAACTATGGCTGGGTTATTGACTCCTGATGCACAGTTTTCGGTGAGCTTAAGCAAGAAGAAAGAAGGCATGTAAATTGACAGAAGGATCTCAAAATGTTCGACAATGAGAGCGAATATTCTGACAATATTCTAAAAATCTAAGTTCATTTATTGGGCTCAAAAAACTCCACAACTAAATAAATTTAAAAGAGTGTCTCTGGTACATAAAATTATGTTTACAGTAAGTTTATATTATATGTATAATGAAATTTCACCGAGGATTCATAAAATTAGGCTCTAAACGATTTTTTTTTATTTCTCGCACTTATGAACAATGTTCTCGTGGTACTCGATAACATCAGACTTTTTGTATCTCTACCCATTTCTCGAAATATTTGTATTATCATTTAATTATTACAACATCACTTAGACTCAAGAGATCATAATGAACTTCAGTAAAGGCTTGATGCAATTATTTTTGTCTTATTTTAACCCGCCATGAAAACATGTCCAGTGTCACAACTTCGAACGATCGCTGGAGGAGCACTGAGAGAATTTTGCGTATTATAAAGCCCCTTGACTGCACAATTAATAGTCGTCAGTTTGCGCGTGATGTATTGTGATATTTTGTGGGTAGACGATACCATGTGCAACCTGTCAATATGGCTCGGAAATATTATTACGCAATTAATATTGAAACTCCAGGGGCTGCTGTAAGCTATACAGCTCCCAAATCTCAATGTAACACAGCTGAGTCTTCTAACCTAAAGCGGAACTTAGGTGATCGGCTGTATGAGCTCTGGCTTGTTCGTCCTGCGTTTTGAACAAGATGCCAGGTCCATCAACTGCACTTCCCTGATGTCCAGAATGATCTCCGACAGAACCCACTTAGTGGAGGCAGTCACTATCATAAGCGGTAACGCATCAAACCGCGTGCCATGCTTCATGCCGTGTATTTGCTGCCTGAATTAGAGATACGTGGTGATGCAGATGAACTGTGCTGCTCATTCAAAATGTTTACGTGATGTATGGTAAGGGTCCATCATGAAGATGGTGACGTGTCTTTCCACCTAAGAACGAACAATGAATGCGATCAAAAACACGCTATTGTGCATGGAAATTCACGAATCCGAGTGGAAAAAGGCTTATATAAAGTTTCTATAGATATTCTCTATCCGGATCGAATGAAATATCTATCAATGTTGTAGCTCGATAATCATAGGAGGAGATGGACTTTAGGACGGCGTATTTTGAAAATCTAAATTGTTCATGCGAGCCAATTAAGAAAAATCGAATGAAAATAGTTAAGTGCTAAAATAATTGTTTGATTCTGTATCTCCAGCTTTACATCGCCTCTCCGTCTTTTTGAGGATACCATCATGCTAATTCTTGGCCAGTTTAACGCATGAATTAATCTATGAATGCAATTTTTCTCAATTTTTTTCTTTAATTGTCATGAAACGGTCATTTTGTCAAAATTAGAACCTACCGCCGCAAAAACTAAAGCACGCACATACAAACGGTATTTTGTGTTATGAGCGGCTTTTCCGCGCAGCTAAAAAATGAGCCTAAAAACGGAAAAGCCATATTTCTCGAGTTTTGACCCAATCACTCACTTATTGAACCACTTAAATATACTCACTACCACCTTCAGTCGTAGGTAGTTGTGGTAATATACTATGCATTTTGAGGTACGGGATCGAACTACTCGCAATTACTTTTATCGCTACAATGGAAAGTATTATTTGGCATTCATTCAGAAAACCGAACTAAAATCTTACTAATGGAATTCTTAGATGAGATTCTACACTGATGAACCTCGACCATCAGTCTTAACTTATACGTAAAGAAGACGGAGAAACCATCGCCCCAAGAAGAAACCATCGCACGGGACACCAGAATTGAATGAAGGTAACAAATGCTGCTATATAGGAGGAGCACTGACTGACATGCGTCTCGCAGCGTTGTGTCTAGGGCGGCAGAGGCAGCGTTAGGACGAGGCGTCGTCTGGCAGAGGCAGCGTTAGGACGAGGCGTCGTCTGGGAGAGGCAGCGTTAGGACGAGGCGTCGTCTGG